TACTGTGGGACACAGCTTACGAAATTCTTTTCTCCTTCTGCATGAGAATCTGACCTTCAGTTAGCTGTCCGGTTTTGTTTTGGAGGACAGCCTGATAAAATCGATATGTTAATTGTGCTGTTAGAGAACACTGCTTATTGCAAAAATGATCCCTGATTAGTATCCTTCATCTGGGCTGGGAAGACTACCAACACCTTATAGGAAGCCACATCTTTGCAATTCCCAAGTGCGAAGACTCTTGTAGCTGGGGTGGTCCTCTGTGGGGAGCCCCAAAGCTATGGCTGTGGAGTTGTTACAAGAGACAATGGCTCCTGTGGTACACGAGGCTTTTAAGCCATGGTGACTATTATACCTGCCTGATGTGGACCTCATCTCTCTGCATCTGACCTGTCATCTGGGGTGAGGGATTCAGAAGCCAACCCCTGGACCACTACAAGGATTCCTGCAGGACTGCCTGACACTTCCCAGCACGTAAGCCATGGTTCCTACCCTACTGAGCAGACTGGTGCCAAGTGGTCTATGAGAGTCATGAGTCTGGATGTTGAGTTGAGCCACGACCCCTGATGGGCACTACAGATACAAAATAGGTGATATACATATATATGTGTATATACATGTGTATTATATATATATATATTTTATATATATATATATATATATATATAATATATATATATATATATATATATATATATATATATATAGTAAGGAATAGAGGAAAAGTAGTAAATTCTGGTTCCTGGGAACAAATTTTCTACTTAAAAATGACAATAAACAAACATTTGCTGCTATTATAAATAAAGATGCAATGTTTCTTCTCCATGTTTCCTGGTCCCTGGTTGTAATTCTGAGTCTTTTGGCCAAAACAAGTTGCCTTTCAATTCCTGGAGCCGTGCCTAGTTGAAAAGGATGCTGAATAATGGTGCTTCCATCAATTAACATCTGCAGTTTCAGGAGGCCTTCAAAGAAGGGTAGGCCATGGAATGCAGGAATCAACGTCATAAGAGCTCTCCAAAGTTCTAAAGAGTAGCCCTGTCTACAGCAAGTGTTGATATCCTTCTGCTTCTTATTCTTCTACTCTCTCCTTACTTCACTATGACTTCCTTCTCTCAGGGCTTGTCCACTGAAAGTATATTTTGAGTACCTTATCTCATACCTCCTTTCTCTGAGGTCTGTCTTCTCCGTAGAGTGCACCTCAATTTTATCTCTGTGTCTCAACCAGCTTGAAATACCCTTCATGAGGAAAGCCCAAAATTACTGGTTGGCTCTACAGCTGCCTGATAAAGAGTGGTGTTGGATGTCCAGCTCCAGGCTTGGGAATACACCTTCTCACTTCATTGCATGACTTATGTTAGCTTCCAAGAACCTAAGAATGGCACAGCTAGCTGTGAAATTGGATAGTAGAAAATTTGGTGAAATATTTAGTGAAAAGGGAAGGAAGAGGCCAGAAGGGATGTGTGCATAGCTATAGCTGACTGCAGGAAACACTGAAGCCACAGAAAATGGGTTCCTCCAGCAGGCTGCTCCCAGGAATGGCAACAGGAAATTCTGAATCCCTACTCTAGCCTTTCTTTGAACTTGACCCTGTTTCTCTGTGAAGAGCTCTCATGGTGCACTTTTCTCATGCTACATATAAAAGAGACATATGTGCATGAAATGATAGTGGGCATGCCAACTATATCCTTTCAGGAAAGCAGCTTAACACCCTTCATGCTCCTACGAAGATGGCACCAAGAGCGAAGAAGGAAGCCCCTGCTCTCCTAAAGCCGAAGCAAAGCAAAGCTTTGAAGGTAAAGAAAGCAGCGCTGAAAGGCATCCACAACCACAAAAAAGATCCGCACGTCACACACCTTCCGAAGGCCCAAGACACTGCGGCTCTGAAGGCAGCCCACATATTCTCGGAAGAGTGCCCCCAGCAGAAACAAGCTTGACCACTATGCTATCAGCGAGTTCCTCCTAACTACCGAGTCAGCCATGAAGAAGATAGGAGACAACAATACACTAGTGTTAATTGTGGATGTCAAGGCCAACACACACCAGATCAAACAGGCTGGGAAGAAGCTCTATGACATTGACACTGCCAAGGTCAGCAACCTGATCAGGCCTGATGGACAGAAGAAGCCATATGTTTGACTGGCTCCTGACTATAATGCTTTGGATGTTGCCAACAAAAGTGGGATCATCTAAACTGAGTCCAGCTGGCTAATTCTAAATATAAAAATGTTACATTGTAAAAAAAGAAAAAAAAATACCCTTCCTGCTCCTAAACCATTATTTCTACTCCTGGACATTTACTCCGGGAAGCAAAAGTAAACCAAAAAACTACATATGTGAAATTTTTTAATAACATGAATCATTCTTTTTACACCTGGGGAATACAAAGCATTTTTCAGTTATGATACATAGTTGGTTTTAATCTGTTTTAGATGATCTAGTTTAGGTAAGGTTAAATCACAATGGCCAATGGTTATACAGTGTTCACAATGTGCTAGGAAACTTATAGGTGCTATGCACTTCACATATATTAACTTATTTAATACTATAACAACCTAATTAGATAGTTCCTATTAAATTATCATTAAGCAGATGAGGAAACTAAGCTCAGAAAGGTGGGGTACCTTGCTCCAGGTCCTGGCTTAGCTGGTGAGTGATGGAGACAAGATTTAAACTTTGAGAGTCTGGCTCCAGAGCCTGTGCCCTAAACCACGGTCACGTGTCCCTCTCAGTGTATGACTAGAAAATGGCACCACTGGTTTCTAATTCAGGTCAACTCTCATTCCACGGCACCAGGCGGCACGTCATCTTGCAGATGAGAAAACTGAAGACAAGGTTGAGTGACTTACTCATGGTCACATGACAAGCTAATGGTTGAAAATTAACTTCTTGACTTCTAATCTAATGATTTTCCTATTATCCCAGACTGCTGGGAATGAAAAAAAAAAAAATCTAGCTAAGAACAAAAGCAAACGAGAAAAGACCTCAGGGAAATCAAGTCTGAGACCTTTAAAAAGATAAAAACCTTCCTTGTCTCTTGGCCCTGCCATGTACTTTAATGTGACTGTGTCCTGCTGGTACTGGCCGTATGTGCCACAGACAGATGTCTGTACTCGTGGATCAGTGACCTACATGAGAGGGAGAGTGATGAGAGGAGAGGGCCCTCTGGGAGATTTGGCCATCACAGTGCCCATCTGGTATTCTAGGACTGCGTCAAGCTCTGCATGGGTGTTTGTGTTGGGTATGTTCATGTAGAGAAATGACATGCCAATCAGCTGGTCCCATTGGAACACGTCTTCTGATTGATTAAAAAAAGGCTCTGTGAGGGCTGGCCGAGAGACTCAGTTGGTTAAGAGCACGAGCTCTGAGCAACAGGGTCACTGGTTCGATTCCCACATAGGCCAGTGAGCTGAACCTGAGCTGAGCTGCTGCTGAGCTGCCAACAGGTGGCAGGATGGCTCAGCTGGTGAGAGCATGTGCTCCTAAAAACAAGGTTGCCGGTTTGACTTCCACATGGGATGGTGGGCTATGCCCACCCGCAACTAACATTGAACACAGTACCTTGAGCTGCGCTGCCCTGAACTGCCATTGGGTGGCCGGATGGCGACTGGACTTGGAGCTGAGCTAGCTGCACAACTAAGATTGAAGGCAAACAACCTGGCTGCTGCCCTTTCCCAATTCCCCAATAAAATCTTTAAAAAAAAGGAAAAAAAAAAAAGGCTCTGTGAGAAAAACTGAGCTTGGAGGGTGTAATGGCTAGTTATGTGTCAGCTTGGCTAGATTATAGTAGTTGTTTAATCAAATGCCAAGCCAGCTTTTGATGTGAAGACACTTTGCAGCTGTTATTAACATCTACAATCAGTTAACTTTAAAAGTGATTAGACCCTTGATATAGTGGGCCTCACCCAATCAGGTGAAGGCCTTAAGAATAAAAACTGAGAGGAAAAAAAAATCTACCTCAAGATAGCATTAACTCCTGTCTGAGCGTCCAGCTGATCTGACCTACAGATTTCAGACTTACCAGCCCCCATAATTGCATGAACCAATTCCTTAAAATAAATCCACATCTATGTATTCATCCATCCATCTGTCCACCTGCCCTCCCATCTCTATCTATCAAGAGGAAGAGATCCTATTGGTTTTGTTTCTCTGGAGAACCCTGACTGATATAAACATCTTGCCAGGACTGCTAAGTACTTTGAAAATGCTGAGCACACAGATCCACCGGACATACAGATCATGAAAAGCAGAAACAGTCCGATAATAAAGAAAAGTTTGGCTGAAGAGACATGCCATTCCATGCCATCACACAGGCAGAAACCATGCAAACATTCCTCTCTAACCCCAGGTCACAGCAGGCAGACAGTTCCAACCACCTCAGCACAGTCGGAACTCAAAACGGTGTGCTTGCTGCAAAACACTGGCCCAAGCACACGAGTCCCTGTAGCAATAAATGACAGCTGGGCAGATTTCTAGAAATTAACAAGAAAAGGCATTCTGAGAGTATTAAAAGAACCTTCTCCACGAAAGCTGACTATATCCTGGTGAACACTGATAGACAAGCCCCTCTAATTCTTCACACTGCTCTGGGTTCCCACTGAAAGCTTCCTGGGCTGGGGAGAGTTATGTTTTAAATCTGATCTGCTTCCTATTTTAAAAATAAGTAAGTCCTCTTTTTTTTTTTTAAATAAACAAAACAAATTCATAGATACAGAGAACAGATCGGTGGTTACCAGAGGGGAAGGGGGTTGGGGGATGGACAAAAGGGGTGAGGGGGTCAATTGGATAGTGATGGACAGTAACTCAACTTTTGGGGGTGACCACTTTGTAGTGTATGTACATGTCAAATTATAACGCTGTACACCTAAAACTTATACAATGAAAATAAATGTGTCCTTCCAAATTTCTTCCTTATCACCCTCCGCATCATCTTCCGGCAGCCCTGTCCCCTACATGACTGTTTGGGAGGCTAAGGGGGGTGGGGCAAGGCAAGCAATCCATCTCACCTTGGCTTCTGACGTGGGTTCCAAGAAGCACAGGCGATTCCCGAGCCCTTCAGCTGCCAAGCAGAACTTCCTTTGCTCCTTGTGAACGTTCGCGATGCACTGGAGAACCACTTCATCTTCCTGCCAGGGAAACAGGTACAAGTGTGAGTGGCCAGGGACTGCCTCCCCATACAGAACCAGGTCCCCAAGTCACCTTGCTATATCTTGACCAGACACGGAGAGGCACGTGCTTTTGAATATTCTGTAGATACAGGAGACATTTTTATTCACCTGCCTGTATTCATATTCACATGCTATAACAGAGCTCCTTCCCGGAGGTAGAGTCTGGAAGTGGGGTCACTGGGAGCAAGTACATAGAATGGACACACTACATGCATCTCGGGCACAGGCTTCACTCAGGGATGTATATAGTGCACACAATCCAGGTGAGCAGGTAATTCCAACACTTGATGAACATGAAAGCAAATCTAAGCAGTCTCTCCAAATATGAAATAAAATAGTAAGATGTGATTGAGGGAACAGAGACTAAAACAGATCAGAGGGAAGGCAGGGCTCGTGGACAGTCCATTTTGTGTTGGGTGGTGGAGGAGGCAAGAGCATGCTTTGTCCAGGGCGGGGTGTGTGTAGTGGGCAGCACATTTGCCAGAGATGACAGAAGGAACCCGGAGGGCAACAGGGGAGGAGCTGTGTACACATGGGAAAGGAAGATTGACAGACGCCTAGAGGATTCGGTTTGGAAGGAGTAATTAGAGGCCAAGTAGAAGAGCCGTTCTGAATTCCCAAGGAGGGGACCTCTCCTAAGCATCCTTCTCCAAAGCAGCCTCCTAAATTTCAGAGACCCTGTTGGAAAGGCATTCCTCTTGTTGATAGTCCAGAGACAAGGCTGACTGACCCTCCATTTACTCTAATAGGCTCACCTCTTGCACAACCCTGCCTGAGGCTGGGAGGACAGCATTTTCCTTACCAACTCCTCCATTCTTGTTCCTGCAGTCTATCAGTGCATGCCCTCTATCCGCCCCTCACTTGACTCTGCGATTCAAACACCAGAAAGAGTTCCAGGTGCTGTCAAGTTAAAGGAGTCACCAAAGAAGAACCAGATGGAGTTTCCTCCTTAGCAATTCCTCCCCTGTTCCCCTCTCATGGCCATGTCCCCTCGCATTAGTGTTCGTCCCCGAGCACTGAAAAAGTAGATTAAATAGAAGCAGGGTTTTTCTTAATTGGTGTCTGCAGTGTACCTAGCCATATGGAAAAATAAAATCCTTCCACCTGGTGGGAAGATTAAAAGATTCAATAGCAACAGGCTCCAACAAAGATGTCTGCCGCCGCCCAGAGATTGGCCAGGGGCTACAGGGAAATGTGAGAAGCCACAAATCACAGACATGAAAAGAAGACTGAGGGGAAGAGAAAAAGCTCCACACTTTACCAGCATTGAAATGTCACTCTTCATCATTAAATTGAGTTAGTAATAAATTCAAAAGCCTCTGCTTAGTATAGTCAAGTCAGAATTCATGGTCTTTATTTGAGTTGAGACAGAAGAAACCTCCAGAACATCACTGCTTTCAAAACATGGGCTCACTGAAGTCTCTGAATGAAATGGAGTTTCCCCCAGATCCTGTAGTGACCAGGGGCCATACCATCATCCTGAGGGGTACAGGCAGTGGGGAAGGGGAGGTACTCTCAGTTGTCAGAAGGACTGAGAGGTGCTACATAACCCTACAAAGCCAGGGCCTTGCAAGTTAAATGGTCTGTATTTTAAGAGGCAGTGTTCAAAACATATAATTTTTCTGTCCAAAATGTCAAGAGGACCACCTATTGAGAAATATTAAATATCTTCCACCTACACACAATTCACCAGTAAAAAACAGGCATTTGGAAATCATGGGAGCATGATTAGGAACCAGACTTTTCATGACCTGGTGAAAAGTCAAAAAAGTTCTCAATATTTGTCTTAGAGTCTCTTTCCGTGATCTCATTTCCCATGCCCTTACCACTCAAAGGTGCCCATCGCTTGACCTTGCACTAGCTGCCTCGGAGTCTCTATTTGTCTTCTGAAATTTATCTGTCCTATAATTCACATCCTCATAACTTAGGCTGCCAATCAACTAATGCAACAAACGAACCATCCCTTGCCCAATAACTATTTGCTGAAGAGCAGCCCAGCACAAGCGCTTTCCTAGGCTAGCACTCTGAGTGACACACAGATGGGTGTGGGGCTCAGAGCCAGCTTTACCCTCTCTAGACACATTCACTTTTTTCCACCTGCTGTCTGGAACTGTATGCTTAATGCTGACCTGGCTGCAGACACCACCTGGAGTGGCAGCTTGTACCTGCCTTCACTCCAGACAGCAGCTATGATCTCCACAAACCTTCAACAGACAGACATCTGGAGCCTTCGAATACCTGACACTGAAATCTTTGCTCCAAAGTTCCACTCGGAGTCATGAGATGATTCAACTTGTCTTATTACTTCTCACTCCCTAGTAAAACACAGAACACAAGCCCCTCCAGTTACCAGCCCTTCCTCGTTTGCTCATCCCTGTACTGATGTGCTTTTTTCTTCTCTCATTATCTCTTTTCCTTTCTCCCTTTGCTTTAAATCAAGGCTGGGAATTCCAGAGAATACCATTTCCAAGGAAGCCCCTTTAATTGGAGGTTGCAAACTCTGCCACAGTTAGCATCTCCTCTCCCCACAAGCTCGCGTTCTCCTCACACATCCCAGTGCCAAATTCAGGCCATTATTCTTTTACTCAGGTGCAAAAAACGCTTATATTTTGAGGTAGGAGATAGTCAATCTCCACATCTTCTTTGGCAATTTATCAACAGCCTACACGCATCTCCCACCACTTGTCTGACATTTAATGACTATCAGAAAATCTGATGAAAGTTTTGGTGTGAATTCAACACACATTTATTGACCACCTTCCCATGACAAAGCATTCTGCCAGGAGACTGCAGAGTACACCAGGTTTTATAAGACAAGATCTATAAATGCTGTAAGAATGGAGCTGATGGCTGAGAGGCCAGCTCACGGCCTTTCTCCACTCCACTTTATCCATCATCTCGAGTAACTTCAAGGTTTATGTGGACAATCTATTCAAAACAAACACCTTGACCCAATTACTGCGACTCTGCTATAGTAACACACCCTCGTGAACATGCCCGACACTGCCCAGAACAATTCTAATTCTAAAATCCCAAACTAGACCATCTTACTCTGTGAACCCAATCTTCTCTTTCTTGCTTTCTCATTCTCTTACTATCACTATTCTCACTCTTCTTCATCAAGAGTTCCAGTTCCTTCATGGGGTATAAAGTATAGCATAGGGGATATAGTCAATAATATTGTAATAACTATGTACGGTGTCAGATGGGCACTAGACTTATCGGGGTGATCACTTTGTAAGGTATGTATGTATTTCCCCATGTATAAGATGCTCCCATGTATAAGACGCACTTTAATTTTGGGGCCCAAAATTTGGAAAAAAAATGTATTACATAAAGTTACTGAGCTCAAGATTTATTCATCACAAAATTCATACAACTCCTCATCACTTGCGGGAAATGCAAGTCAAAAAATCTACAACCACTGTATAAGACGTACCCAGTTTTTAGACCCCAAATTTTTCGAAAAAGGGTGTGTCTTATACATGGGGAAATACGGTAAATGTCTTAGCACTGTGTTGTACACCTGAAACTAATAAAACACTGTATGTTAACTGTAATTGGAAAAAATATTTAAAAACAATAATTTCAATTTGGGGGAGCGAAGGGACTGTCTTCATGTCATATGTCATAAAAAAAAAAAAGACTTCCAGTTCCTAGAGGGCACAGGCATGTCCATTATTTCCTTGAGAAAACACAACTCTGAGGTTTTGTTCCACTAAAACTTTATGTGTCTTTTGGTAATACATTTTTAGCTTGTTTGAACAAGACCATAAAATTTCCCCTTTTTTTATAGGGCTCACAGCAGATTCAACTCAGTCAATATCAAATAACCACACCTTCCATCAACATGAAAAGAGAAACAAACTATAAAGAGAAGGAAGTGCTAGGCTGGAAGGCACAATAATCAGTAAAGGTAAGGCCTTTCAGACCTATCTCCCTCCATCCTTACCAGAGAGGGGTGTGAACTGCTTAAGTCCCCAGGAAATAATACCTGTAAGATCACAAAGGTTTTTTGCTTTCTACCAGAGAAGTCAAAAGGTCTCTGCCTGACTTTTAAAGTGCCCCCGACCCAGGTGAGTTCTCCCCTCCACCTCTAGCTTTCTCGCTCCCTTATTCCTATTACCTTACCGACTCCCATGTAAATCTTGTCCACCCTCCATAAAATGCTTCCTCTTGAACCCCCTCCATTCCTTTGCTCAACACTGTAGTCTCCTCGTTTTCCTACATTTATGATGGAGCCTTCCCATGTTCTCTTTCTCCTGCCACCTGTAAATACAGGACTGCCCAAGGGTAAGTCCTTGGTCCTTTTCTTTTAGCAATCTCATCCATTCTTTAGGCTTCCAGTTGTAGTCTCAGAAGTTGTTATGCCATCTTTACCTCCAACTTGGTGGCACTCCAAGGTTCCAAACCTCCACCTATTCCTAACTTATTCCATAGACTCCACCAATCCTATAGACTTATCAACACCACCTCAATATGCCCCAATGCATCAAAAGGTTTCCTTTGCGGTCTGCTTTTATGTTCCCAAGGTTTGTTAATGACACATCCAACCTCTTGGCAACCCAGGCTCAAAAATCATCATCTCCTGTCTGAGTCTTCATCCCCCTCACCCTACCGCAAATAGGCCAGAGGAAGGAGAGACTGGAGGTCTAGGGACCAAGACAGGGTATCATCACAACACGAGAGCATCCTTCCTCTCGTCTGTTTCCAGAGGCATAGCTCTGACTTTATCATTTTCCTGCTGAAACTCCATAATGGCTCTCTCCACTGTCCACAAAACAAATACAAGATGAAATAGCGCCATTTGTGACAACATGGATGGATCTTGAGGTTGTTATGCTAAGTGAAATAAGCCAGACAGAAAAAGTTGAGAACCATATGATTTCACTGATATGTGGTCTATAAAACTGAAAACAAAGGAACAAGACAAACAAATGAAGAAACAAAACCTCATAGATACAGACACTAGTTTAGTAGTTACCAGAGGGTAAGAGGGGAGAGGGTGTAGATGAGGGTAAAAGGGATCAAATATATGGTGATGGAAGGAGAACTGACTCTGGGTGGTGAACACACAGCACGATATACAGATGATGTATTACAGAATTGTACACCTGAAACCTATGTAACTTTACTAGCAATTGTCACCACAATAAACTTTTTTTTAAAAAGGAAAGAAAAGAAACATCAAAAAAAATTTTCTTTAGCATTTGAGGATGTTCACTTTCCAACCTATTTTCCCATCTTCCTTGACCTCCTCTACCTCCATGCATTTACTCACGTGGTCTCTAATTCTAAAGCTGCCCTGATTTGCCCTATTTTTCCATATTCATATATTACCTTTCCTCCCAAGCTTAGCTCAAACACCACAGTCTTTTATGAAACCCAAGTAATCTCTCTTCTCTCTGAACTTTCATAATGATACCACCATACTCTTGCATTATGGTTATTTATATGCATGCCTTACCCCCACCATATTACATAATTTGAAAGGGCTAACATTTACTGATTTCTGCCTGACAGGCACTGCACTTTATGTACAATAACCCCTTTAAGCTTCATATCAATGCTATGATGTAGGTACTATTGTTATCGCCATCGGACAAACAAGGAGTCCCTGTACAGAGCAGTTAAGTAATTTGCCTAAGATCTCATGGTGGCAATCTCATGGTGGCAGGGAGTAGAGCCTGGGATCCTGTCTCCATACTCTCTCTCCCACTCCTCTCAGCTGCCTTTGTACCCCCCTTGAAGGCAGGGTCCACATCCGGTTCATGTTTACGCCTATCAGAATCATGGTGTCAATCACTAGCATGGTACCATATGCACATTACATACCCAATTGTAATTTAGTGAATGGGTGTAGTTTTCCTTGTAACCCCAGTTAATTACAAATGCTGTTAGAGCAGAAAACTGCTTCCCCATCCAACTTGGGAACATAAAGTGTTTGGTAAACCCATGTTGACTGCTTGGAACATGGAATCAAATTAAAAAAAGATATTTCTCTACCCTGAGTAATATAACAATAGTTATTGTAGAAAGGGCCACTGTTTCACTGCTGAGTCAGAACTGAATTAAAAAAGAGAGAGAGAGAGAGAGAGAACAGATGTTGACATAAAAAATGAGAAATAAGTAATAATGAGACTTTGAGGTCCATTCCAAAAGTTTTTAGCTTCTGTTGCTTAATTATTATTACTGATAATAATATCAACTGTACATTCTATACCAGACACTCTGCTGAGATTTCCCCCTAGATTATTTAATTTAACATTTACAACACTATAACTATCATAAGAATGAGGAAACCAAAGCTCAGAGGAATTAGGCGATTTTAATAAATGAATATTTAATGAGCAGTCATTATGTGCCACCATATTACAGTATTTCAGTGTAATCCTTACAACTCCCTTATAAGGTAGGTACTAATATACTATATTTGTAGGTAAAGCAGTTGAGGCACAGAGAGGTTATTTAGCTTGCCTAGCACCACACAGCATGTAAGTAATAGATTCTGACCTTGAACCTATGACTATCTGAATCAGAAGCCAGTCCTCTTTGCCATAGCACCAATCCGTCTATCTCAGTCCAAGAGACTGCCCTTAATGACAGGTCTGAATTCATGTCTTCCTGACTCTAAGGACCATGGTGATGGTGCCGATAAAAACAGATAGCTTTTTTTTTTATGGCCCTCTCACATGGCCATACAACACTGAAAAGTAACCAAATCACAGAGCACAATGCCAATGAGAACAGCTAGAGAGCTAAAAATCCCATAAAGCAAGTTGTTTCTGTTCCCAATGACTACAACACTGGGAGGAGTGAACATCATCCCAAAACTTGTAGCAGAGAGGGAAAAATGATTAAAATCCAAGGTATATCATATGTCAGCATCCCTCCACGCTATGTAGTTCATATGCGCCTGCTATTCCTGTCATAGAGTCAGCTTGTGGTGGTGTTGAGTGATTGTCCTGGAACAAGAAATACAGCCTTTGGTTCCCTTTGCCTAGATTTCACATTAGTATCACAGATCATGTCTGACAAAATGAAGTTCTTCCTCCTCTAGCTAAAGAATGTTTAACTTGAAAATGAATGGAGCTTGCCTCTTCTACTCCTGTTGCTTCTTTCTTACACCCTGACTCACAGCCCAAGGTCTGGAATGACCATATTTACCACCACTGAGTTGATGGCCGGGGCACCTTGGTTCTCCCTCTTCTCTCTGGGTCATTTGCAGAGAACTCTTTGAAACAAAACAAAATGGCTGACAGCCCTATTTAAAGTAGATCATTAGGCAGCTGATGACAGCCCTATAGTTAGATCGGCACATCACCAGTGCCAAGAAGCTCATGAGCAGGGAGCACGTGGGACAGGGCGCAGGCCAGCAGATTTCATGGTCCACATTTAAGAGCAGATATTACTGCAGAGGAAAATCTATAACCATTTATTGCTTTAAAAAAGGAAGATGTGTCCTAGCTACTCATCTTGAACATCAGGCACTATTTTAGGGAACTGATACAGTTAGAGCTACACCACATATGTAAAGACATGGGTGAGAGAACTCATTTTAACGCTTTACCCAAAAGGAAACAAACCAGCAAATCAAAACAAACACATTGATACGGACAAGAGAATGGTGGCTTCTAGAGGGAAAAGAGGGTAGGAGGAAAGCCACGTGGATAAAGGGGATCAAACATATGGTAACAGGAGGAAACTAAATTTTGGATGGGGAGCACGAAATAGAACATATAGATGACAAATTGTAATCCTGTACACCTGAAAATTACATAATGTTATTAATCAGTGTTATCCTAATACATTTAATTAAAAGTAAATAAATGAATGGGCTTTAGAGATGATGAGACTACTCACAGATATTTCCCAAGGATTAATGACACTGGTGGTTTACTTTTATGATCTAAATAGCAATCATTTGGACTATTTGTTTCCTTAGACTCTAAGCTCCTTGGGGGCAGGAACCACTCATTTCCCTCTAAATCTTCAGTGCCTAGCATTGTGTACAAAAGCACAAATATTTGTGAATTTAACGACAGAACTGTGTATTTTGAAAACAACTAATAAAATTAACCAAAATGCTTATGTGTCAAAATTGCACAATAAAGATCCTTTTGCATTTTCTTACTCATAGG